AGTACATTCCAAAGCCCAAGGAAAAATGGGATGATAGAGATTGCAAAAAGCACAATCTGGATAACGTCGCCAAAGCAGCCATCTTCAAGACACTTGACCCCATCACCTTCTCCAAAATTAAGCACCTCAAGACTGCCATGGAGATATGGCAAGGTCTTGGGAAGCTATGTGAGGGTTCAGAGGACTTGAGAAAGCAGAAGATAGAAGTCCTGGTTGAGAAGTTCAAAAGCTTCAAAATGCTTCCCGGAGAATCATTTGATATGCTGAATGAAAGATTCCACAAAATCTTGAATGATCTTGCATCACTTAACCACGGTCTTTCTCCCAAAGAGAAGAATGTAAGGTTGCTGAGATCTCTTCCATGGAAGAAGGAAGAAATATGGAGAACTACACTGTTCAAGGTCTTCTTGATGAGCTCAGAACCTATGAGCACGAGCTGAAGAAGAAGAAGGAAGAACAAGTCACTCCCTTCCCCACGGCACTGATGACAACTCCAAGAGTCCCATCAAGTGAAGGGACATGCCCCAGGAACTGTGACACACCCTCCTCCAGCCAGCCGTCAAGTTCAAAAATGGAGAACTACGATAAGGAATTTGCCATGATGGTCAAGCAATTCCGGAAGTTCAAAAAGTTCTTCAAGAAAGCTGATTCAGTCAGAAGGCCATCCAAGGGAAAGCCACAGGTAAGTGACTCCCCTCCTGAATCTTATTTGTGTTACAACTGCAGGAAGCCTGGCCACTGGAAGTCAGCGTGCCCGTACCCAAAAGTGGAGAAGTACGGAGAAAGAGAAAGGATCGAGAAGAAGAAGAAGGCAATGGTTGCTGCTGAAAGTGACGAGTCATCCAGCTCAAGCTCGGATGAAGAAGCTCTCGTCTGCATGGAGCGCAGAGCTGAAAAGTCCAATCATGAGGATAGGTGGACCATGTCAGAAGATGACACTCTCTGCCTAATGGCCAAATATGATGCTGATCAAGAGGTAACCTCACAAACCTCCTGCTCATCTTCTTATGAAAGCATACCAACTTCTGAAAATCTTTTTGACCAGTTCAAAAAGATGATGAAAGACTTTGAGGAGATAAATCTCAAACATTCTTCCTTAACAAAGGAGAACAAACTATTGAGTGAAGAGAATCTCAAATTGACTGAAGGTCAGAAAAGTCAACTGAATGAGATCACTCAACTCAAGACTGAAAATGAATCTCTCTCTGAAAAGGTGAAATCCCTTAACAAAGAACTAGGGACTCTTAAGTCAAAAGAGGCAGTGGATAAGCTTCTTGAAACGACCAAACATAAGGGTCGTGAAGGACTTGGGTTTGACTCCTCTTGCTCTAAAAAGAAAGGGAAAACAACTTTCATCCCTCCTAAACCTACTGCTAAACCAAATAAGCAGAAAGGGAAGGAAAAGGAAAAACCAATAGAAGTTTCCAAAAAGGTAGTCTCTCCTAAGAACTATAGGAAGCTGGACAAACCTCAAAAAGGAAATAATTTCAAAAGAAAACCTTCTAACCCCCATTATACACGAGGCTATACCCATTATGGGGGAGACAGGAGTTTTCCAAGAAATTCTGAGTGGAGAACTATGCCAAGATATAGTCACCCTCCACCTCAGAAGCTATTTGTGCCACCTAAGTATGCTTATAACCGACACAGGACACACTATGCACCACCTAGACAAAATCATAGGTCTTATCAACCTAGGTTTACTAGGAGGAAACAGGAAATAACATCTCCTGCACGTAGGAAGTTTTATGCCTACAACTATGATTACAATCCCAACAAGTTTAGAGCTGCAAGGAAGATTCC